CTCACCTTCCTTTTATAAAATGAAATCAAGTTGCTGGTGTGGGGGGGAAGTAGACAAATCTCAGCAGAACACGTCCCACAGAAGTCTGAAATACGTTGGTCACATTTATAATCCCACGTGCTTCTCTTCTGCCTCTCCCAGAATTCAGTAAAAGGTGTTTAAAAATGTGTACAGTGTATACAGGGAAGGGGTTGTGTGAATCAGGGAACAAGCAAGCAAACACCCTTCCTTCCTCCTTTGTCTCAGGAACAGGCAGTGAAGAGATGCTGTTGAGCCGACGTCTTTTCAGAGGTGTGGAAACGGCTGCCGTACCTCCAGTCCAGGTAGGAGAGGTGAGCGTTGTGGGATTCTGGGACCCCCGGACTGTTTCCCTGGGACCCTCCCATCCCCCTTTAGTTCTTTTATTGGCAGGAGAGTGACTGAATCAATAGAGAGAGACCACAGTTTTCAAACAAAACCAGGTCGTTTACAATATAAGCTTCCTGCGGACAGAAAGCACTTTAGCACTTACATATCTTTTAGGATAAAAACATAATATTTCCATATTCAGCATAGAATACTTCAATACAAAACTAGTGCACTAGTGTGAAATATGGAGCACCCTGGTCTAGTCAACCAGCCCAGAGCAAAAAAGTCTTCAACAATTTATACCCTCAGTACCCATAGGTTCGGCCCACATGGAGTAACACACTTTTAGCAGAAGAATATCAAAATATAAAGAACAATATTCACCTTGAACTCATACCCAAGGTACCCTAGACAGTCAAGGATGTTCTGTGTAAACTTCGTTGTGACCTTATTGGAAGGACAGACGTCTGCTTCACCAAGCATGTTGGTGGTCAGAAGCTACAAACCTTCTCACTAGGAGTCTTTGACACAGGGTGACATGGTAAACCTAGAGAAATGTAAACTAGTCTTTTTGGAGCAGAGTGCCTTGTCAGGCTAGAGAGAGGCTTGAGAGATGACAGTAGCTAAGCCTGCAAAGCCTTATGGGAGAGGAACCAAACAGAGGCCTCAGTTAATCCAGGCTGTTATGCAGAAATGCCCCAGGCTCGCTGATTTTTCTGCCACAATGAGTTGAGCAGGGGGGACAGCTCAGGTCCCTCTTCCTTTCTCAGGGGAGCTTCTCCTCCTGCAGTGTCTACAAGGTGTCTGGGCGAGAGATCCTCTGAACGCCGTTCCCTTTACCCATCTCAAGTCTGACATCCTGTTCCTTCCCAGTCTACTCCCTTCCAGGGTGCCTTCTCTGCCTGGTGTGATCTCTGAGGAGGGAATCTGCTTTTCCTTTCAGGGTCCCTTTTCCTTTGAGGAGGTGTCCATCGATTTCACGGAGGCAGAGTGGGCCCTGCTGGATCCGGGGCAAAGAGCTCTGTACAGGGAAGTCATGCTGGAGAACTACGAGAATGTGGCCTTTCTGGGTAAGGATCTTTCCTTGGTGCCAAGGGTGCAAATTACGGCCATTGTGAGGAGGCATGAATCCAAATATTGAATAGCTATTCACCATTTTGAGGCCTGTCCTGCTACTTGAAAGGGGGGGGGGCTATGGTTCTGTGGCAGAGCATCTGTTTGGCCTGTAGAAGGGCCCATCAATGGACCAAGGGTCAGATTCAGTATGAGGCAGTTCATGTGTTCCTGGGTGTGTTCTTGCCCTGGGGCAACAGAGGCCAGTGTTGTGGCCATCATCCAAGCCAGAGAAGGTGTCCTGGCCTGAGGCAAAGGGAGGGATGAGAGGCCCTCAGAAGGACTCTGGAAGGGGTCAGATCCTCATTTCTCTGTTGCCAGCCTTTACAAGACACCCCCTCCCCCGAATGGGATTCCAGACACCCACTCAGTCTGTGATCTGGAAACAATCCTGTCAAGAACTGAAGCCTGGGTCCCACGGGTCTCTACTCATTGTACCTGAGCAGCCCCCGGTTAAGTGGGCTCATGAGAAGAGAGCACACAAGTAAAGCAGACCCCCTTTTTAAATATATAAAGGTTTATTTTTTTTTAATAATTATTTTTATTAATTTTCCACACTATACCGAAATACACTTCCATACAAACAATAACAACATATAAACATATAAACAATCACCACCCATCACCACCCCCCACCAATTCCGTCACTATCTCTGTATTACACATAACTTTGCAACACAACTTAGTTCTCAAAACTCCATACTTTGCCTTCTGTATCATTACCAAAATACCAACTTACAGTTACACACATCCAATAGTAAGATCTTTCCAATTTCCCTCTTTCTTCCCTCACTAAACCTTCTTCATATTAACTCCCTTGGAGAAGATTACTCAATTACATTTCTTTTAGTTCCAACTTATCATTAGACTCATTAATTCTTAGTATTCAATGACAAAACTATTTTTATCCTTCCATCCTTTCATTTTCTGAGACCCTCCTTATTTCTTTACATCATTTCACTTTCTTAAAGACACAAATATAACTATCAATACCCAAAAAATATATCCTAAAAAATAGAATATTAACATAACCTCACACTCAAATTACTTCATTTGGTGCATCTGATCCCTCTATATATCTCTTAGTCTTATACACAAATTAATTCCACACTTGAATCAACAAAACCCATAAATCAATACTCATACCCCCAAGTTTTTCTATAATAAATTAAAAAGTAGTATAGAGGACCCCTAGATATTTCCACAAGCATCTTGTAGGAACACAAGTATAATTATTATCATTACCCAGAAATATATCATAAACAAGCAGTCAATCACACTCAAATTACTTCATTTGGCTAGTCACCCTGTATCTCTCTTTGTCTTATACATAGGCTAATTCCACATTTCACTTTCTAAATATTCTAATTCCACAATTCATTAATATTATACTTCAACAGAACCCATAAATCGATACTTATTTAAATATATCATTAAATTGTAACATCATTAAAGGTGATACAAAACAACCCAAAATATTTCCATAAGCATTTTATCACATTCATTTCATTTCATTCACATAAATACCATCATGATTATAAGCATTTTGTCACGTTCATTTCATTTCATTCACATAAATACCATCATGATTTATCCTTCAGTCTATTACATTGCTTACAATATAATCAAACATATATATAGACCATATAGTTTCATATAGTTTCATTAAGGACTTAAAGATAAGACGTCACTAAACAGCAAAGCTTCTGCAGCTCAACAACAGAAAAACAAGAAAAGCAAACTTTTCTGTCTACACATGAAAACCTTGGTATTCAGTGGCACCTCTTTTGCAGCAGTCCAGCTGTAGCCTTAGCTGTTCATAGTAACGCAGCAAGAAAATATCAAGGCGTACTAGCGTGGCATGAAAGTTCAAAACGTGGAAAATATTGTGCAAACAAAAACAGCACACAATTCTAACATACTACTATAGGTACATCAATTAATCAATTTGTCTCTGTTACTGTGGACATTTTTTTCAAGATTGAATATTGTTACTTTTATTGAATTTTTATACTATACTACTGTTAATTATAATTATCTGGTTACACTGGGGTCTTTATTGTGTATGAGAAGTACAGGATTTGATTCTCTAATGTAGCTATGGTAGTATATTAGAACTGTGTGCTTTGTTTTTGTTCGCACGGCATTTTCCACGTTTTGCTCAACCTTGCCGTGTTTCCCAGGAGTGTAAAGCTAACCTGGCTTCCCTCCGGACTATACCTTCTGCCTCTCTAGGGTCAGGTGGTCCTAACTGTCCAATCACGGGTCCTCCTTGATGGAATTTTCTGGAGTCTGTCAGCACCCTCCTAATCCCCCCTCCCTCGTGGCCACATAACTGGATACAGGTTCTCACGATTAACCAGTTACCATTAACCAATTACCACATTCTAGATTCTGGCCTTGAAAAAGATATGGATGTTAGCTGCAGAGAAATTGTGATCACAAAACACCTGCTAGTTGGACCAGGCCACATAATAATCACGTCAACCATTGGGGGAACAAGGATTCTTTGCCTCAAAGATCCATTCACCTTATACTGGCTGGGATTTGATCTCGACCATGGTTCTGTCTGTCTAGAAGAATTTTTACTCTTGAATATCTTCCCTTCACTGTATAAGAATGATCACTTTCTGTGTCTTTCTCTTTTTCTCTCTGCGAAAGAAGCCAGAAGTATACGAGAGTCTTTGGTGGAGATAAGCAACAGCCCTGCATCCAAAGAAAAGCTGGAAAGTTCCTCAAGGGGATCCCAAGAGCATATTTCCTTCCCAAATGAGCTGGCTGAGAGTGAGTATCCTTCACACTTATGACAGGGGAACCGCCAAGGTATAGCCAAGGGGGGTTTCTGATTCACTTCTGAGCAACATTTGGTTTGGTACAATCATACAGCCCTCTGGGTAAGGAGAGAGCTGGGGGCCTGAAATCTGAAGGCTCAGAAACTCCTTCTGAGTAGAAGCTTAGCTGTCCTACTGAGGGGTGGGGTATCCTTAGCCCGTATCCTGAGCCCGTTCGCGGGGAGGGCGGGGTACAAATGTAATAAAATAAAATAAATAAATAAATACTAGATATTCTGGAGAAACATGGAGGGGTGGTTAAGCTCAGCCAGGCTGGATGAGGCCAAAGGGCAGTCAATCCTTTCCTCCTGCAGCCACATAGGTGCCTTTGGACCTTAGGAGCCCTCCCAGGCACTTACAAGATCTTTCTGTTTATTCAAACAGAGGATGATCAGAGAAACGAGAAGGGTGAGGAACTTCATCAGCAAATGCCAGATAGTTTTAAAAATGCAGACTTGAAAGAAACCATCAGAAGTCAAGGCAGACCTAAGACAAAGAAAGCCAGACATATGGTTGAAAAGAGAGATGGAAGACAGTGTAATGTACATTCTCCAAAGGAGAGGATATTCAAGACAAATAAATCCATTCAGTGTGGAAAGTACTTCAGAAATAGATCACAGCTCCTTGAGCATGAAAGAATACACAGAGGCGAGAAAATGTTTGAACGCTCAGAGTGTGAAAAGAGATTCTATCAGAGTGGCACTCTTCAACAGCATCAAAAAACCCACAGAAGGAACAAATCTTTTCAATGCTCAGAGTGTGGACAGAAATTCAGTCGGAGTGACCGTCTTCGATCTCATCAAAGAACCCACACAGGGGAAAAACCTTTTGAATGCTCAGAGTGTGGAAAGAGATTCAGTCGAAGTGACAGTCTTCTATATCATCAAAGAACCCACACAGGGGAGAAACCTTTTGAATGCTCAGAGTGTGGAAAGAGATTCATTGAGAGTGGCAATCTTCGATATCATCAAAGAATCCACACAGGGGAGAAACCTTTTGAATGCTCAGAGTGTGGAAAGAGATTCAGTGGGAGTGGCAATCTTCAGAAGCATCAAAGAACCCACACAGGGGAGAAACCTTTTGAATGCTCAAAGTGTGGAAACAGATTCAGAGACAGTGGTGGTCTTCAGAACCATCAAATAATCCACACAGGGGAGAAACCTTTTGAATGCTCAGAGTGTGGAAAGAGATTCAGTCAGAGAGGCAATCTTCGATATCATCAAAGAACCCACACAGGGGAGAAACCTTTTGAATGCTCAGAGTGTGGAAAGGGATTCAGAGACAGTGGTAGTCTTCAGAACCATCAAAGAACCCACACAGGGGAGAAACCTTTTGGATGCTCAGAGTGCGGAAAGAGATTCAGTCGGAGTGGCAATCTTCGATATCATGAAAGAACCCACACAGCAGAGAAACCTTTCGAATGTTCACAGTGTGGAAAGAGATTCCGTGAGAGTGGTAGTCTTCAGAGGCACCAAAGAACCCACACAGGGGAGAAACCGTTTGAATGCTCAGAGTGTGGAAAGAGATTCAGTACCAGTGGAAATCTTCAGAAGCACCGAAGAACCCACACAGGTGAGAAACCTTTTGAATGCTCAGTGTGTGGAAAGAGATTCAATCAGAGTGGCAATCTTCATAAGCACCGAAGAACCCACACAGGTGAGAAACCTTTTGAATGCTCAGTGTGTGGAAAGAGATTCAATCAGAGTGGCAATCTTCATAAGCACCGAAGAACCCACACAGGTGAGAAACCTTTTGAATGCTCAGTGTGTGGAAAGAGATTCAATCAGAGTGGCAATCTTCATAAGCACCGAAGAACCCACACAGGTGAGAAACCTTTTGAATGCTCAGTGTGTGGAAAGAGATTCAATCAGAGTGGCAATCTTCATAAGCACCGAAGAACCCACACAGGTGAGAAACCTTTTGAATGCTCAGTGTGTGGAAAGAGATTCAATCAGAGTGGCAATCTTCATAAGCACCGAAGAACCCACACAGGTGAGAAACCTTTTGAATGCTCAGTGTGTGGAAAGAGATTCAATCAGAGTGGCAATCTTCATAAGCACCGAAGAACCCACACAGGTGAGAAACCTTTTGAATGCTCAGTGTGTGGAAAGAGATTCAATCAGAGTGGCAATCTTCAACTGCACCAAAGTACCCATACAGAGGAGAAACTTTTTGAATGCTCAGAGTGTGGAATGAAATTCAGGCTGAGGGGGAATCTTAAACGGCATCAAAGAACCCACACGGGGGAGAAACCTTTTGAATGTTCAGAGTGTGGAAAGAGATTCAGTAGGAGTGGCCATCTTCCACAGCATCGGAGAAGCCACACAGGGGAGAAACCTTTTGAATGCTTAGAATGTGGAAACAGATTCAGTGAGAGTAGTAGTCTTCAGAGGCACCAAAGAACCCACACAGGGGAGAAACCTTTTGAATGCTCAGAGTGCGGAAGGAGATTCAGAGACAGTGGTAGTCTTCAGAAGCATCAAAGAACCCACACAGGGGAGAAACCTTTTCAGTGCTCAGAGTGTGGAAAGAGATTCAGTAGGAGTGGCCATCTTTTACAGCATCGGAGAAGCCACACAGGGGAGAAACCTTTCGAATGCTTAGAGTGTGGAAAGAGATTCAATTTGAAGGGGAATCTTAAACAGCATCAGAGAACCCACACAGGGGAGAAAAGACAAAAAATATGTGACCTGGAGGCTAAAAAACTGTGAGCTAGCTCACACTAACTTAGCTTAGAGAAAACTCTGGTATCCAGACCCTTCTTCTTGATGAAGGGATAGCTTGGCACCCAGACAAACATAAGTCCAAGCACACTTCACTTTAACAGCACCCCAAAATCCTGGTTCTACCTGGTCTTATAATACAGCCAAAGTGGCTCTGGGGTCACATAAAATGGATGCCAGCAAGTCTTTGATGGGATTCTGAAGGTGAAAAGTTATGGATTTTTCTGCTATTGACCCCGTCCCCACCTTGAGACTGTACGCAATGGCAGCAATGGGTCTTCCAGGAAAGACATTGTTTTAACTTAAAGCATTTCCCTACCTGGCTGTCAGGGTCCTTAGGTTACGGAACACAGGGCTTCATGAGAAGATAACTGTTTATTGGTAGATCCAGTACTAGAGATACATGTACAGCTTGTGTCAGGAATGGCCATCAATACTAGGGCCTCTGACTTATATTAGAATCAAACATCCCCCCTGTAAGCATGAGCCAATGGATACATCTCGCGCGCACAGGTAAAGCAGTAAGGCAAAGCAAAAGCTGTTAAGTTTCCTAGCTGGGTAAAACTGCAGCTGGAGCATCTACAAGGTCAAGCATAAGATAGCAAACAGTTGGTGAGCCAGGGAGAGCTGAGACAGAAAATGGGAGGGCACCTCTCCACATTCCAGACCTATGACAGGGCTACCTGACACTCGCTTGACCTTTCCTGACCCGTTTGCCATAATAATGATACCACTTCACACCTTTCAGCTATCCCCAGTAGCTTCCCCTTCCAACAACAGAGGGTCATCAAGCAGCCATTAACTACATTCATGTACAATATCACACGTTTCACCCAGGAAGGGGATCTACAATCTAAGGGAGAAAGTAAAGCGTATCTATCCTTTTTCTTTCTCAACTGATACGTTTTTTGGGGGGGCTGCAGCTCCAAGATTCGAATCGGTCCTCATCGGAAGATGCCACTTCTCCATCTTCATCGCTCTCCTTGGTGCTATCATCTTTCTTCTTGTCTTCTTCACCTGCTGGACGAATATAACATTGCAAAAACTCCATTGCCTTTCCTGTAGTGTCGATTTTTTCTTTCTTATCCTTAAATTTGAAAATTATGCCTTCAGGCACATTTCATCTGTAGGTTATGTTATTTTTCTTTTCTCTTTTCTTTTTTTTGCCCCCTGAAGGGGATTTTTTTAATTTGCATTTCTAAAGAAAACTACAAAACTATAACAAAAAAGGGGGGGAAGACTACAGACTATGGGAGACAGAAAAGAAGACTATGGGAGACAGAAAAGAAGCCCAAGTGTAGAAGGTTGTATACGCTTATAAAATTGTGACTCTTAACAGTTAACTTCCGACATGAGGAGTGTCCTCGATCATCGCTTCAATTAGTATCCAGCTTGTCTGGCTAGACAGAGAATAGTTCCATAGCTAATTAGGAAAAATAAAGACCTTAAAAGACATTGACATATTTCAATACACTTCCCCACAGACACAACGTTGTGGAGCCAAGGTTCTCTCTGTCCATACAGTCATATCAGTTAATCCTCTTCCTTCTCTGTTAAATCTTCTTTCACAAACAACTTTAATGAAACAGGCTCTGTCCAGTTAGTACCACTTTCCATTTTCCAGGACTTCCACTCGCTTACTTGCTTGTCTTGAATCATAAGAGTCCTTCCTTTTATTGCTTCATACACACACTGGTTAGAGAGACTGACCGTTCACTTTGCATGCAGACTTTATGGAACAAGTCTGGCCAACCCTTTGTTTCAAAATTGCTTTATAATCTGTTTGCAACCATCCAATATAAGCTAGACACAGTCTCAGTTTCCTCTATGATCAAAGATTTGCCGCTTCTTGATGTAAACACTGTCCCTTTGAAAGTACAGCCACATTAGGGCCGTTCCCGTTGAGTACCCCGCTTTAGCCAGCAGATGGCGCATGATTTTAAGCTGTAGGAAGAGTCTATGGTTAGGTCACCTGACCTAGCCCTCCGTTTTTCTTCTTCCTGAGAGGAGCTTGGGTCCCGCCTCCCTCAAAGCCTCCGATCGCCATCTTGGGGGGTTGTTTACATTTGCCGATTAAATTTGCCAAAGTCTCAAAGGTCTGTAAATGCTCATATTGGAAAAGTTCTCTGTTCTAGTCCTTCTGCTATAATCCATTGCCACTACTAGCTCAGTCCCCCCAGTCGTATTTCCGCTTCATTCGATCACTTGTGGGGTAGGACGTCCCCTCCCACTTCCCGCTTATATTGGGGGGGGGCTTTGCAACAGGGCTCCGATATCTCGCTTTAACTCACTCATCCATCTTCAAAACGATCCGACAGGTCTTCATGGGATCTCGCTGGGCAGAGTAGAATCGCCAAACCTTCATACGCTTGGTCCGGTGGTCACTTCAAGTCCAATACTGGGAATCAGGGCAGGACCTTCGGGGCAGAGAGTCGCCCCCCTGTGCCAGCTGTCAGCCGGAGGAAGGGCTCTCCAAAGCCCCCTGGCTAGGAGCCCGTTACCCATGGGCTCCATGGGGGAGCACGCACAATCGCGCTCCCTCCTAATCCCCGATTCATGGCACGTGTATCTCGGAGCTGCAAGAAGACTTTGCCATCACTGAGGTGCTGAAAACCGGAAGTCCGGTTATGTTATTTTTCTGTAAATATAATACCAAGTCTCTATATTTCTTTCTTTTCTTCCTTATTTCAAACGGAATGTCCTTCATAATTTTAATTTCTTTGTCCTTAATCTTCAAGGTAGTTCCACTTGTAGTTTTAAGGATTTGATCCCTCACTTGTCTTCTGGAGAATCTCACCATCACTTCCCCGGGCATATTATTCCTTCTTGTATATTCAGAATACGATCTATAGATCGTATCTATTAAGTTTTGTAATGTATCTGCTTTAATATCTGCTAACAGGGCAATAGCATCACACATCATCTGCTTTAGATCCCCCTCTTTCTCTTGAGGAACTCCTTGAAATCTTAGAACATAGCTTGCTCTTTCCATTTGTAGCTGCAACAAATGAGACTCGTCAGCTAGTCTCTTTTTTTCCATCACCTGCAGTTGTTTTTTCAGCTTCTTGGTACTGGCATCCACTTCTTTAAGCTCTTGTTCTGATTTCTCCGTTTTTTTCACAGTCTCATTAAGTTGTGCTTGTTGTGAATTGTTTTACTTCCAGTTACTCTCGTCTTGTTCTAGAGGCAAACGCATCACCATGCCCCCTGGGAGCATTTTGCCATCTAACTGGATAGATTGTCAGACCCCCAGTCTAGTTACACTCAACAACTCTCTTTTGGCAGTGAAAGTTTATTGAGTTATAGGTAAGATCCAGAAAGTCACCATGTTAGTCTTTTGGCAGGTACAGACTTATTATAGTAAAGTCAAGCAGGTCCCATCCATCCCCCAATCATACGTCATATACTCACACTCCGCCTAGCATTGCCATGTCAACCAGGAGAGATGTTCTGATAATTCAGAGTCCAGGATGGTACAGGAATGTTCAAGGCCACCTTCTCCTGGGAAAACAAAAGAGGAGGAGAAGGGGTTTGACTTGTGGGGAAAGTTACATCTTCTCACCCCCATCCTCAGGCATGCCCTCCCCCCACAGTTATGGCAACCCAAGCAAGCACAGAGTAGCAGGGCTTGACGCAGATGCGGCCCCATTGCTGTACATGTCTTACGTACACCACACACCCAAATTCGTTTATGTCCTTTCCCATCTTTGCAGCTTCTCCTCCATGGACTTTTGATTTTCTGGAATGGTAACTATAATTCCCGAAACACCCTCCTTTTGTTCTTGCTACTTCCTGTGTTTGGAGCAGCCTGGTGTGTTTGCTTTATATTGTGCATTGATTTCTGTGTGAGTGTACTATTTTATTAGTATTTTGTCTTTCAATAAAACAAACTTCCTGGTTAAGCTACAGCCTGATTTATTCCTGAGAATTTCTCTAAGGGAAGAATCCTGGTATACAATTGGTAGAGATCTCAGCAAGTTATCATCCCACTAAGCAATAAGGTCTCCTTAGAGCTAATCCCCCCCCCAAATCGGGAGACCTCCCCTTAAGTTAACAGCTAAATGATGGAAACATGGGCAGCACTCTGTGTCTCTGAGTAACATGGTTCATGTAATCTGCCTGGAATCCAAGTGAGAATGGTGGAGTATATATGACATAAATAAATAATGTCCGGCCGAGGTTCCTCATCTCCCCAAGCCCTGCCCTCTCCAAGGCTCAACCTCCAAATCTCCAGGAATCCTTCAGTCTGAAACTGGCAACGCTAGGAAGGTCTTGCCCCCCATGAGTCCTCCCTCAAAGGCCAAAACAGCCTGGAAAAGGACCCTGCCCCCCTCTTTTATTCACAGAAACCCAGTGTGGAATGCTGTGGTTGCCTGGCAACAGGCATTGAGGGAATCCTCAATACTGGTGGAATACAAAATAAAATATCGAAATTAAAATCAATAGAAGAAGAAGAAGAGATTGGATTTATACCCCGCCCTTCACTTGGAGTCTCAGAGCGGCTTACAAACTCCTTTCCCTTCCCCTCCCCACAACATACACCCTGTGAGGTGGGTGGGGCTGAGAGAACTCTGACACAAACTGCTCTTTTTCAAGGACAGCTGTGCCAGAGCTTGTGACTGACCCAAGGTCACATCAGCAGGTGCAAGTGGAGGAGTGGGGAATCAAACCCGGTTCTCCCAGATTAGAGTCCACGCACTTAACCACTACACCAATACCGTCATCATCTTTGATGTGATATTCAAAAAATTCCAGAACTGAAAAAGAAAAAAAAGTTAATTATTCCCATAATACAAGTAATAAGCTTGCCATTGGTTAATTTTGTCAGTGTTGCATCCTCAGCTAGTTTCCCTTCCCAGATCTCTATTGTAGGACAAGTCTTCTGTCTTCCATCTCCTGAAGGTGAACGATGGGCTTTTCTGCCTCCAAGGTGTTGCTTGCC